TGTTTGTTTATATATATAATATACAAGTTTCCCTTGCATTAAATTAATAAACAACAACAGAGGTTCTCTGACCAGGCAACTCCTGTGGATGAGGGAGAAGTTACATAAAAATGTCTATCTTATATAGTCTGTGGTGTATTCATAAACTTCTTAATAAATAAACACTTTGAGTAAAACAGTAGTGCAATGTTGTAAATGCTCAGTCCATACGATATTCTCTCAGACAGAACCAGTGAGCCTCAGATGCCTCTTCTGAAAGCAAGGTTTCTGTCATCTTCACAGCAACCAGGGAGAAATCAGGACAGGTTTGGGTGGCTTGTCACAGAGGGACGATGATCTGCAAGATACAAAGTGGACAGAATAATGAGAGTCAGCCGAGCAGCCTTTAGATGGACTGCAACTTAAGTATCTCTCTAAGTGACTCAAGCAAGCTGTTCATTAACCCACCACACAAGTGTCACGTCAAGCAACATCCTCTCCATCACTAAATTGAGTTTCCATCATCCAATGAGCATTTATTTGAAAAACAAGCACTTCTTCATTTTGCCGGACTCCTCCACCAGCTCCACAGAAGCGTAATTACACAGCATAAATAATTAAAGAAGTTGATTATTGCAGACTTAATGACTCACTCAGTCTCTCACTAACTGCTTCCCTCCTCCGAGGACTGATAAAGACATTGGAAGAGATGGCTTCAGTTCTGACGAGTACAGCGGTGTTGTGTTATCTTCCTCTGCTGGCATGTCTCGCTTCTCGTGTTTGCAATTTCATAATTATACGTTTTATGGAATTATGAGCCGGATATCAGATCTCGACTGTATTTGCTTTTCACCCATTTAATAGCGTTTGGGGAGGCTACAAAAAATTGGAAATGAAAATTTGGATGATTTGAATGCAGTTCGGAACTGTCAGTTCCTTTGCTCAAATCAAACATTATTAAGGGTCAGACAAAATCTCATTATGTTCTTTATGTATAAAGGAGGCTCTGTAATATATTTGTCTTTTAAATTAGGTATTGTTGAGCATTTGAAACATTATATTAATCTGACCTTGTAAAATTAACTAAATATGCAATAAAAAATCGAAGGTAGACTCGATGTTGACGATAAGTAAACAAATAATGCCCTCTAGTGCTCAATGAAAATAACAAAAACACATTAAAAACTGTACTTGTTATTAGATTCATTATGAGGACAAACTACTTCGGCAGAAGTAAAATCTATTTTACAAGTTATAATATATACAGTGGGTACGGAAAGTATTCAGACCCCCTTAAATTTTTCACTCTTTGTTATATTGCAGCCATTTGCTAAAATCATTGCAATATAACAAAGAGTGAAAAATTTAAGGGGGTCTGAATACTTTCCGTACCCACTGTATATATACTTAACTTGTAAAATATATAACTTGTAAAATAGATTTTAGGACAATAAAAGTACAGATCGTGGTAAACTGGATTGTAATGACTTCAAATAGAAGGGTAAAATATCTCTTCACTATCAAAGATACTGCACAAAGCAGAGACAGATCCTCACTAAATAGAGGTGATCACAGTCTGGCCATACATTTCATACATTTCATTATACAAGAATTAACTACTTTGAAAAACTTTCCCACTTCATTCCACATGTCAGAAAACCGTCAGAAAAAGATCAAATGCAGGTGTTACTGAGGGTGAACAGTCATCAAGCATCTGTCACAGCAGGACTCAAATGAGCTGAACACTCTCAGAAACCAATTACTGCTATGATCTTCATTTTCAACAGTTAGCTGTACCAGAATATTTTCAATTATCTGTAACAGAATAGTCTTAACGTTCATTACTGTCTTTTTGAAAGTTTATTTTATTCTATTTTAATTATTATTCTTTATTATTATTTATATTACCAATACTGGTAACTCATTTGATTTTTTTCCCTCTGTCACAGTTTTTATTGTGTGCACTAATATTTGGATAATGTTTAAAGCAATCACACGAGCAAAGTATGTTGAAATATAATAATGATTAAATAGTTAATTTATTTAAATTACTATCTATTTACTCGTAACTAGGGAAGTCGTGGCCTAAGGGTTAGAGAGTCGGACTCGTAACCCAAAGGTTGCTGGTTCGAGTCTCGTACCGGGCAGGGATTGTAGGTGGGGGGAGTGAATGTACAGCACTCTCTCCCACCTTCAATACCACGACTGAGGTGCCCTTGAGCAAGGCACCGAACCCCCAACTGCTCCCCGGGCACCGCAGCATAAATGGCTGCCCACTGCTCCGGGTGTGTTCACGGTGTGTGTGTGTGTTCACTGCTGTGTGTGTGTGCACTTTGGATGGGTTAAATGCAGAGCACTAATTCCAAGTATGGGTCACCATACTTGGCCACATGTCACGTCACTAAATATTGAATGTGCATCAATACGGATATCTATCTAGTAAAGAATGATGATTTAAATTGCAGTTAGCAGCTGAAAGAATAGTGAGTTACCACTCATTATTTATTGTCCAACTAATTAAACAAACAAAGAAAAGCATTTAATTTGTGTTTTCTCGATAAAGAATGTAAAATAAAAGAACTGTAGGCATGCAGCTGAAATCCTTTTGCTTTGATGAAGTAGCATGTGCAAAGAACCAAAACACTCCCAATTCTCAGCTGATGCAATGTATTATAAATATTGTTGGCTTCTACGAATCAAAGAATGTGCTTTTGCAATCCCTTGTTGGTGATGGATCATTTTCATGCTGTATTAAACAGCCTGTGAAACGTGACGTAAGAAATTGTGCGGTGATAGAAATATTGATGCTGAGGTCTAGTTAAAGTCTCTTTCCAGCTCACAGGTAATAATATTACAGACATATTTTCCAACACTAAAGCATCTGTCATAATAAAAGTGATGAAAAAATTGCAAAATATTTTAATAACATATCGCAAACATGCCTCTCTAAAGGCATTAACTGTATTGCTCTGGATGTTTAATCAGATTTCCAGAAATTTTATGAACAACAAACATGCTGAAAAGAAGTAATCACCCTGGTCATAATGGGTTAAACATCGTAATTCGCATGTCAGAGTAAATCAAATCTCACTGTTTATGTTAAATGTCTTATACTGTGCAATCAAACTGTAAATGTACTTAATATAATGCCATTTCAAGAAAGATTTCTCTGCACAACAACCATCATTTTCCAGTGAATAAAACATACATTTAAATATATTAAAAGCATATATTAATTTCAAGTCCTGAAAAAAAAAAACATTTTCAGGCATGAAAACTGAGGAACAAAACAACACAATTGTGAAGCGAGTTTAGTATTACACCATAATACCATTCAGTGAAACACTGGAACAATTAATAATTCAGTAGTTTGGATCATGACTAACAGGTTAAACATCTTTATTTAGGGGTCATTAAAGTGCCAGAGTCCATGTTTATAACACAGGACACCTAAATAATGCACCACTGTATCTCGAGGGGACAATTTCAAGAAATGGACAAGAAAGTTGCTCTCTCAACTACCAATATATTGACTGTGTGTTTTCTCTAGGGAAACATTCACGCTGTAGTCTTGTTACAGAGCCTCATACAAGTCATACAGCTAAATGCAAGTCATGAATAAATGACAACATCCAGCACCAAAGAACAGCTTACAACCTTTAATCATTCATCAGCACAAAGTGTTGGTTCAAATAAAGGTAGGCCTTTTACTTTCTATTTCACAGGGAGTCATAATAACCATATTTGGTTTATTTGTTGAATTTTTTAAGTATTACTGTTAGTTTGCTTGAATATCCCCAAGTTCAACATTTAATATGTTGTAGGCTTTATTGTGACAGGTGTCAGCAGAGAAAACTTATTTTGTATATTTCAGCAGGATAATGTAAGAAAAAGGAAAGTCTCAGATGGTATACCATCTTATCTGATATGTTGTACCTGCCTAACAATATGCTTTTTATTGTACCTCAGAGGGCATTGTTGTTTCTCTAGATCAATTGGGACAGAGCCTAGATTGCACCAACTATACTGAACCCCTGAGTTTTACCATGATTGACTGTAATCAAGAGAAACTAAACCCAAACATTAAGGCCTGGATGCCCTCATGAACTGAAATTCTGTGAACACTACATTCTGTGAACTACTAACATCATTTTATTGTCTTGGCAGAAAGCATTCAGGATAAATATCACTATTATTCCTAAAGGAATACTTTACAGGGTAAAATAACTACAGGGTCTTTAAATTAGTAATTTTCTAGTTCATTGACTTCTGATGTGCATCTGTAGCCAGTTATTCACATTTTGCAATTTATACTTCTCATTTTCCGTAGACTAAATTATTGCATATATTTCAGTAAATCGATTTGTGAGGGGGGGGGGTGCTTGCATGTTCCAATCTAGCTCACAGTGAGAATACGAATTACATTGCCCATAATGCATTTAGCCAATTTGTATAGCCCCACCCCCTATCACTGTCTGAAGAGAAACACCTCTGCTGGCTGAACATTCTTGTCTAAGGTGTGTGTGTGTAGAGCTATATATATATATATATATATATATATATATATATTGTCTAGTGTGTGTGTGTGTAGATATATATATATATATATATATATATATATATATATATAAAAGATAGCTGTATAAAAGATTTCACTGGAACTCACGTAACCACTAAAAAATTAATAAAAAACTCTTATACAAATTTTAAATTTATACATCTCTCTAATTTATATGTGGGTGAAGACATAAACATAAATCATTATTGAGTCACTATGGAAGAAAAGTACAATCCATTCCATTTTCATCCTCAATTTATAAACCAGCTGCTTGTGTTCAGTTCGAATATTTGCTGAAACTAACTTTTTAAATGCTATTTTCCAAGCTATTTCAGAACTGGTAAATACTGATACTAATATTTGTTTTTGTTTGTTAGGGGTGTATTATGGATAATTCATGAGGACAATAAGATGAAGAATATCCATGTTTATTGATAACACAAGACAACCATTAAAAATATTAATGAATAAACGCATTAAACCATGCTTTGCTATTGTTTGTCATGCTGCATTTTGATGAATGCTTATCATAGACCTTGCACAAGTGATTCAGAAAACAGATTTCCACCCACTGCCTCTTTCAGGTGCATGCCTTTACAGCTTCAGGAAAGGATTATGGATTTGCGTCTTTTTTTAATGACTCAGATGCATTTTAAGAGAAATGAGTTACAGTTAGATCCTCTGACACATTCACACAATTTCCCAAAGCGTGAACCCAGTCTCATGGCGCAGCGGGACCCCACAGCACACTGAAGAGAGAGAGAGAGAGAGAGAGAGAGAGAGAGAGAGAGAGAGAGAGAGAAAGAAAGATCAGAAGATGAAGAAAATGAGGATATCAAAGAGGTGGAGCAAAATGTACCTGTGGAATGCTACGTTTTTCTGAAGATGGTACATGAGGCTGATATCTTCCCAAAAGTGCTGTCATAGCCTCAACCTATGCAAAAACATAAGTAGGCCTACCCATAAGCAACTGAATATGAAACATATTTTTTTTATTTAAGATATGAATAAACATATATTAAAATATAGCCTACATGTAAACACAAACAAGTTTAACACTTCACCGACCAATTATTCAGTGTTTGGTTTACAGATAAATGGCCAAATATGTCTCAGTATATCACGCGAAAAATAAACAAATATAAAAAGACGTTTTATTTGGTAGCCTACTCACCAATTCGTTCTCCGTTTCCTGCTGGGACAGCTGTGTGTCATCTGTGAGTTCTTGGGAAGTTTGTCCAGAGCACATGACGGTGAAGAGCCCGACTATGATCAGTCCGGTCAGGATCTCTGAGCTCTTCATGGTCCTTAGTCAGTCAGCTGCCGGGTCACAGTCACAGCACACTGAGGTGTGGGAGGGACGGGTAATTTAGTAAACACGGACTAACAGTTCGCTGGCTGTTTTATAAACTGATATGCCCCGCCCTGACTTCGGTTAACGGATTATATCGGGTCAGCTATTGGGTAAAGGATATGTATGTATGCTCGATAGGTAATTCTCCTGCATGCTCTCCTGCATACTGTACCTTTGCAGGCATACTGCAGCTGTAGATGTACTAACATGAATAGAATATAATAGAATAGAATAGAATAGAATAGCAAAGCAAAATAAAATTTCATGTATTATACAAGGAAAGGGGGTGGGGCAATATTCCCATTTTGACATTTAGCCCATATTGACACGACTTACCCCTTAATAAAGGCCTATCGTGATTTAGCCTATTCATTAAAGTTAAATTAAGCTCACACTGGTGCCGGATGGTCTTGAAGCATCTTGGAGACGTTGCGACAGTTCTTCTGGATTGAGTCTGTCTCCGTTTGTTCTGTTTCTTCATGTCACTCCAGACCATAAAAAGTAACTAAGTAACGTAATTAGTTACTTTTTTAATGGAGTAACGCAATATTGTAATGCATTACTTTTAAAAGTAACTTTCCCCAACACTGCTCCAGACAGACTGGATGATGGTGAGATCGGATCTCTGTGTGGAGCACTGGCTGTTGTCAGACAAAAATCTCACTGGATTATTATAATCAATGGTAAAATGAATGTTTGGAAATGTAAACTGATATTTCCTACTGACACACTACAGCAAAAGATAGAAATAGCTGACTTAAAATAATTTTTAGCTGGTGAAAATAGTGTTCTAATAATTTTGGCCACCACTGGCTACTTTTATAGGCTAAAGAGTCTAAACGGTATATACATACATTTCCTCTTGTTTTATATTTGTTTATTAACAAAAGTAGCGTCAATAAAATATAACACTACTTAATTATGATTCATTTTGTGATTAAAAAGTTACAAATAAAATTACAATTAAATGACATTTAAATATAATGTGATTTATATTCTGTACATGTTTATTTGTATTAAGTTTAATAATTTTTAATAGAAATGATTTTAAATACAAAGATTATATAAATGAATAATTATTAGTTATCCTAAGGCCCCTTGGAGGTTTGCTGAGGCCCCCTGCTTGGAGAATCACGAAGTGCTGTGGCAGACTATGAGCTATGTGGGCAGTAGAGGGCGCTGCAGGCACAGTTAAAAGTTTTCAACTGATATTCTTGAAATGGGTGTTTCCTGAAACGCATACTTCAGGATTTAGGAAGGAACACGCCCATGACATCGGTCGGTTTTCAAGAAGAAAAAAAAAAGTCGCTGAAGTAAGAAGGGGGCCAGAGGTGCCTTCTCGAGGTCTAAATATAAATCCTAAAGGACAAAGATCTGCATCGAGAACTCACAAGGAAATAAGACTTGTAAAACTTTTGAGAAAACATGTCAACTTCTGACGAGACAGACGGTTTCCGTCCTAGATATGGGTGTAAGTATTAATGCGTTTTCTTCAGGCGTTCTTCTGAAACGTGATGCTCAGTGTGTTGAAAGCTACTAATTTCCATTGAATGCAAATGCATTAATTCAAAGAGAGTGTCAATCAATTTATTTTGATGTTTTATACAATTGCCCATTCTTTAATGCTCAAGTTTGCATCGGCATGGTTTACAACTTCCGCATTGTAATACTGTATGTGTAGGGCACTACAGAGCGGGATCACCTGGACAACTTTTCTGAACAGCCAAGCGTGTTGTTGTTTTTACTTTTAATTTTACATGAAGCATCGACATCCTCATTCTTTCTCTCTGCTGAACCACATTACTTATCAAGATTACATAAGTTGAGCATCAAACGACTGTGCACTGCCAATATAACTTTACTGTCTGTATATAGAGCTGTAATCTAGATGTAACGGTATGAAAATTTCTTATCACGATTATAGTGACCAAAATGATCACGGTTATCAGTATTATCACGGTATTGTTAAAATGTGCTGGAGATGTTCAAAAAGTACAGACACATAAATCTCTTCACCAAGTTTTATATTTAAAAATCAACAAACAACAAATAAAATGACTTTTTGTTTGCATAATCACTAAAACAGTAACATTACCAATGATGTTCGGATTTTAAATGACAACTTGACTGACAACGGTTTAATAGCATGTTGAAATATCTTATGTAAATGTTCAAATAACGCTTTGAAAAAGTTTAATAAAAAGGTAAACCTCACATTTTAGCCTTTAAATAAAGAAATGATATGTCAAAATCATAATTGATTATTAAATGATTATATGTATTTTATCTGCTCCATAAATAATTCTAGATAACTTATCTGAATTATTTAAATGTGTAGAATCCACATAAGCTTGTTTTTCATCTACCGGTCAAAATTTACAGCAGGGCAGAACCTGCACACAGGCTGAATGTAAATATAAGTCTCTGTAAATCCACTTGCTGACAGCAGGTGGCGCTGATTTTTAAAACCTCCCAGCTTTTCCGCCCTGTTTTCACTCAAAACGAAACTACTCTGCCTGCTGTGCGCACGTGAGACTGTTACTTAAAACTGTGCTTTATGCTGGACAGTATTTATGTATCGCGAGTTGTTCAAATCGCGGTAATCTAATACGGTTTTAATGATAATTAAAAGATGAAACGGTAATACTAACCGTTGGGAATTTTATCATGATTTATCGTCAAACCGGTAATCGTTACACCCCTAACTCTAGACAAGACTGTTTGAAAAACAGTTTTCAAACAGTCAAATCTAGCCCACAATGAAGCTCTGTCTCTCTCTCTCTCTCTCACCTAGAAGTGTTTTTATTATAAGAAATAAGAAAACCAATCACCATAAATGCCTCAATGAAGGTCAAACGTCACTCTTAGTGACTCTAGCTCTGGTAAAAAGCGTCTTTGTATCGTGCGCTACTATTTATTTTTCCCCCTGGCCTGAGTGAAACCCCCATTACCAAGCCGACTTTTTATGGAGAGTTAGTTACTTTGCTACTGTGAAGGCGGTTCATTGTTTCTGGTACTAATACAGTTTCAGTGATCTATTTCACTAGCCGACAGCTGCCAGACCACTTATTTTCTAAGCTTGAAATGTAAAGTCTATCACTTTAGTGCAGAGAATTGTGATTCATACCAGTAAGCTGAATCTTTTGAATCAATGCACTAAAAGATTCTCTTGCTTGATTTATTCGGAGCGCTTTCAACACGTTGCATCGTTACAGCAGTGGGTGGATACGAATCATTTGATGTGTTATGAACGAGTCACCGAATCACTCACTCATCTGATTCGTTAAAAAAAAAACACTTGGTTGACTGAAACAAAGTTTTAAACTGCACAAGTTTGATCAAACTATACAGTCAGAATGATAGTCTAAGTAAATACAAAGTTTAATGAGTAAGTCACAGACTTTCAACCAGCTTTGAATTGTTGCAATGGTAGTAGTAGTCTAAATTTAAGTAGTATATGTAAATGAAAAATATGTTTTTCTCTGTGTTACCTGCACCAGGATCTCCCCTTTTATTTATCAGTAAAAGTTCTCTTGATGATGTAAAATGCGCTATCTGGCTTCGATTAAGCTTAGTGCATTATGGATGTTAAAATTTTCCTACCGTTTTGGCAAAAAGAAATGCCTTAATAAACCTTTTTCTGTTTTCTCTAGTCATGTCTCCAGTGGTGAATTTCACCTTCAAGTAATCTCTTTAGGTGACTTTAATTCTGCATGGTTATCAGTAACTTTTACACATTCAGATTGATTCCGCCCTCTGTCTTTGCTTTTTTGCAGGATTGACTTACATGACAAACTGAGCAAACATTGTTTTTGTTAATGTAGGTGTTGTAGTAGTTAATTTTATCTGTTCACAAGCTGTCACACTCTAATTCAGTCTGAGAGACTTCAGTGCATGGAAATGAATGAGAGTGATTTGTACAGAAACAGATTGTTTCACAAATCAATGCCATATTTCACTTATGGTTTTAAACTAGATATTACTTAGGGTAATGTAGGCTTGAGTCTGTTGATCTCTGAACAACAATCATTTAGTGGTTGAATCATATAATTTTATTATCTTCTAGACTTTGTTTTTCTCTGTGTGCAATGGAAAAATGGCATCAATGGTTTTGTTTTTGGAAAACCAAAAAAATTCACTGAGGAGGTATCACGGGAAATGACGTAGTATCTAAGGATTGTCCTCATTATAGTTCAGTTCACTTCTGAACATGCAAACATTTCATTTGAATTGGGATTCTTTGCAGCTTGTGGCAGGGCAAATGATTGTTTGAGGTTTCATAATTCAAGACTACAATACTGTTATGATCTTACCCTCATTTAAACATGAATTTTCACAATTTAGGATCTACTCACAGACTCCGATCAAATCCAATGTAAGAGTTAGAGCTTTGCAGCCTTATTTATTTCCTTAATGTTTGTTTTCCAACAGAAGTTTGACTTAGTTAATATCTAATATCTTGGATATTATTAGGGTCACATTTGCAAAAGCTACAAATAAAGTGGATCATAACAGTTCAGATCATATTTTAATATTCCTGCAAAACTCTAGAGACAGAAATTAAGTTTTTTTTTTTTTACTTAGACAGGGTGTCGCCATATTTAGTTTTTTATAGGCATGAAAATGAGGCTGTGAGGGGCAGAAGTACTGTTGTTTAACAACATGAAAATTCTATGTGATGGACCTTTATACAGCCTATGCTATTGAAAAGACCGTAAGCTTGTCTCTCACAGCATCATTTTCAATCAAATAAAAATATGGCAATATGGCATCTACTCTGACTGAGGTCTTTTACAGACAAATATGTTTTTCCAAAGTTTCCTTCTTTTTTTTCTTCTTTCTGAAATATGTGCAGCTATTTACAGTAATAATTAGATTTATCTTCTTTTTCCACATGACATTAACCCCTGTTAAATTATTTCAGTATGTGGAATAGTCACAGATCTTAAGGTTGCAAGAGGTCTGGCATTACAAAGTTTGCATAAACTGCTAAAACGGTTTGTTTAGAGTGTAGCTAGCAGTTGAACTACATTTTATTTTTGCCCCTTAACTGTCACCGTCCCGTATACGGGACGACTAAGTTTACTTCAATATATTACAATTAAATCCTAATCTAATCATGACAAACTATATATCGTTGGAAATGTCTAAGACTCCTAAATAGATATTTTACCACTGTTTGTTGTTAGAAATTATGTAGGAACAGTAATAGATTAATTTATGACGAGTGCACCTCAAAACATATACATCATAACAGGAGTTCTGACCTTTGTCACAAAAATTATTCTTCATTTCCTTTTTCCCCATCACATGTTTTAGTAATCATCATAAAAAATATATAATTTGAAAGCTTAAAACCTCCAAATTCATCCTGTGAAAACCATTTTGAAATCGGACACTGCGTTACCATGGAAATCTTACTTTACAATCTTTTAGCGGGCTCCTCGCCCTTAGTGGGAGGTGTCATATTCCAAATGTATTACGGTCTTTTAGAATCAAAACTTTTCATAATCTTGACAAAATACATATCGTTGTAAATGTCTGAGTCTCAAGATTCCATATTTGGTGGTTATTTTGCGATAGAGTAATATTGAGAGAGAAATTGATACATTTTCTCCAAAAATTAAATGGAGTTTGGAGGGCACCTGGTGGCTGTTTGTGGTATAATGCCTAAACAAAATTGCATAGGAACCAAGATTTTTTTAATATCAACTTCAAATTTGGAACACAACTTATTTAGACATATGGCTTTAATTTTATAGCAATTTTGGATTAAAACATATTTTATAAAATATTTATTTTATATAAAATAAAAAAAGTACAGTACATTTTCTTTACAGTAAATTTAAACTTCTATAACTTTTTTTATACTTTCATTTTTTGAAATGATTTCACTTCTGCAATAATCAGCAGATTGTCTTCTTTAAAAAGAGACCAACCGTAGGTCTGTGTTCAAAAGCGTTTATGAATTATAACAATTTAAGTTTGAATAGTGCACTTTTCAAAAATGGGCATGACAGTTAAGGGGTTAAACTAACATTTTTAGCGTGTGATTTCTCTTAGGATTGGTTGAGCAGGTATGGATACCTGCCCCCTCCGGACCCCCACACAGGAAAGCTGCAGACTAAAGAAGGCATTGAGAGAGCCATCAGGGTTGGTGACAGTTAAGAGGTTAACCATTTGAATGCCACTTTATCTAGTGAGTATGTACTGTATGTGACAAATATATCTAAATACTACTGTTCAAAAGCTTGTGGTCGGTAAGTTTTTGAACAATAGAACCAACCAAGAAGACTGCCTTTATTTGATCAAAAATACAGCAAAAACAGTAATATTGTGAAATGTTGTTATAATTATAGCCATTACTCCAGTCTTCATTGCCTTCAGAAATCATGCTGATTTGCTGCTCAAGAAACATTTCTTATTATCAGTGTTGAAAACAGGTGTGATGCTTAATATTTTTAGATTTTTTTTCAGGATTCTTGATGAAAGGAAAGTTCAAAAACCCATATTTATTTGAAATAGAAATCTTTTGTAACATTATAAATGTCTTTGCTGTCACTTTTTGTCTTTGCTGAATGAAAAAAAAATCTTGCTGACCTCAAACTTTTGAATGGTAGTGTATATGTAAGTTTCACATCTCCGTACCTCAAGCTCTCTGAGGTGCGTGTTTCAATCTCATATCTTGTATATCTGCCCCTCTCATTTTAGCTGTTCTGGATGGCATGGAGCGGCTCACCGCTGAGGAGATGGATGAGCGGCGTCAACAGAACATGGCCTATGAGTACCTGTGCCACTTGGAAGAGGCTAAACGGTAAGAGACCAATTCTCCATTTCAGCCCCTCTGCACTTATATTAATTCATGACGGGTAACACAGAGTGTTTCGCTTCAAATAGCAGTTTAGCTTTCAGTTGGTGGTTGTTTAATGTCTCTGATGAATGTCTGTCACATGATTGTGGGTGTCTTCACTGCATGTCCCAGCAAGACCCACTACAGTGAATTTCTATATAACCCAGACTCTCCATGAAGCTCTGAATTCTTATTTCAGTCTATGGCTTAAACCCTAAAGAGATAGTTCACCCCATACATTCTGTCACCATTTACTCACCCTCATGTCATTCCAAACCTGTATGGCTTTCTTTTTTCTTTTGATCATAAAAGAAGATATTTTGTAAAATATTTCAGCTGTTGTTGTCCACACAGTGGAGGTCCAAAACTTAATTGGAAATCATTTGTAAAAATACCTTCTTTTGTGTAATGCAGAAGGTTGGTACAACATGTGTATAAGAAAATAATGACAGAATTTTCATTTTGGGTGAACTATTCCTTTAATTAACTCAGATTGCAAAGAAAATGAGATATGAGAGAATAATTGTGCGGGAAAAAAATACAGTACCGTTCAAAAGTTTGTGATCGGAAAGATTTCTTGTTTTTCAAAGTCTCTAATGCTCACCAGGGCTGCATTTATTAGATAAAAAATACAGTAAGAACAGCAATATTTTGAAATATTACAATTTAAAATAGCTGTTTTCTATTTTATTGTATTTTAAGATGTAATTAATTCCTGTGATGGCAAAGCTGAATTTTCAGCATCATTACTCCAGTCTTCAGTGTCACATGATCCTTCAGAAATCATTCTAATATGCTGATTTGCTGCTCAAGAAACATTTCTCATTATTATCAAAGTTGCAATCAGTTGTGCTGCTGTTTATATATTATATATTTTCTTGAAAATTGTTATACATTTTACGATTATTTGATGAATTGAAAATTCAAAAGAACAGCATTTATTTGAAATAGACTTTGGTAAAATACATGTTAATACTGTCACTTTTGAACAGATTAGTGCATGAATAAAAGTACATATGTGACTAGGGCTGCACGATAAATCGCATGCGATATTTAACGCGCATCTTATCAGTAAAGCCGGTTCTGTAATCAGCTGTAAATCTCCATCACCTGCGGGCTTTCACATTGAGCAGCATTAACTACACAGAGCCGTTGTTCACTGACGAGCTGCGCAAAAAATCGCGCGAATATGAACGTGGGTTTGCGCAGCTCGTCAATGCAGATGCGCATTAAATATCGCATGCGATTTATCGTGCAGCCCTATATGTGACCCTGGAGCACAAAACCAGTCTTAAGTAGCATGGGTAAATTTGTAGCAATAGCCCAAAATACATTGTGAATATTTAGATTTTTTTTTTTTTGCACCATCAGATTCCAGATTTTCAAATAGTTGTATCTTGGCTAGGGGTGGGCGATATGAGCTAAATTTCATATCACGATATTTTACACTGTCCAGGCGATATCGATATTATATTGCGATATGAGAAAACAAATTACAGCCAAAATATTTTAACCTTATATAACTAGACAAAGTGAGGGATTGGACATTTTTGTTCTGGAAGTCTTTTTTTATTGTGCCATTGTTTTGCTCAAAAAGTGCAAACGTGCAACATGAGGTAGGCCTGTATGAATTAAATTAAATTAAATATTGTGTGATTGAGTAGGCCAGTGGTTCCCAAACTTTTTCTCAGTGTCACATGATCCTTCAGAAATCATTCTAATATGCTGATTTGCTGCTCCAGAAACACTTCTCATTATCAGTGTTTAAAACATTTGGCTGCTTAATATTTTTGAGGAAACTATTTTTTCCACAATTCTCTTATGAATATTTGAAATGGTCCTTTGTGTCAGAGCGCTGGAGTTCGTCAGAAGTAGAACGCGGCATCACTTTTCACTTTACTGTCATGGATTTGTATAATCTATATAATTTGTATAATAAGTATATTCATAATCTGCTTTACGTTTACCTGGCACTGGAAGTCCTTTCCCAAACTTGTTACTTACATGCTTAGAGCAGAACCATGCATCGTTCATTTATATTTCTACATGGCTCCCTGCAATACAACTCTGATTCTTCAATCGTGCCATCTAGTGGTTTGTTGTTGATACAACCACAACTGATAACGGAGCACTCAAGCGGGTACTGCGAGTCATGTTGAGGTCCTTAAAATGTGTCAGATTAATATTTTGCGTTCAATTATGTACTTATCAGGCAAGTGGCCGCATGATAAGCTGGAAAATTACCCAGTGTAGTCTTTATCACCCTGCAGAGGTTTCTTTTGCAAAATAATCTGCTGACTGTACACTATCCCTCAGTTTGGGAACCACTGGTGTAGGCGATTTGTGCTCTATTAATTTGGTCTGTTACGATGCTTCCATATCATGGAACAACATAATACCGGTAGTCACGTTCATACCGGTATAGCGCCCACCCCTAATCTCGGCCAAATATTGTCCTATCCTAACAAACAATACATCAAAGGAAAGCTTATTTATTCAGCTTTCAGATGATGTATAAATCTCAATTTCAAAAAATGTACCCTTATGACTGGTTTTGTGGTCCAGGGTCACATTTCTTAAAAAAGAAAAAAAAAATCTTACTGACCACAAACTTTTGATTGGTAGCACCAAATAAGCTAATGGGTTGTGGGTGATTGTCATGGTGTTTCTTTGTGATTGCTAATGCGTTTTAGTGATTTGAAGTAGGGATGCTCCGATCCGCCTTTTTCGCCTACGATACCGATTCCGATACCTAGGGTTTGTTATTGGCCGATACAGATACCGATCCGATACCAGTGAAGTTTTTTCCCCCATTTAAATAAATGTAGAATTTATATATCTCTGTGTGTGGAACTGATAATCATTATTTCACAATCTACTAGATACAGACTACTTCATTATAAAGAAAAATAAAATAAACAATAAATATGAAAAAATATAGGCTTATGTATATTTATAATCTATGACAAAAATTTATCATAAACTAGGTTAGTGGATAATTCGGCAGCAAAAGTTATTCTAGAAAAATCAG